CCCAGCATCACGTGTCTCACTCGTTCACTTTAAGATTTGACATACGAGTATTCTGAGTTACGAGCTCCGTCACAGAACGAATTAAACTCGTAGGTCAAGGCCCCACTGTATATCTTATTGATTTTTTTTACAGAGAGGAAGGGAGAGGGATAGAGTTAGAAACATCAATGAGAGAAAAAGGTTGATCAGCTGCCTCGTGCACCTCCTACTGGAGATGTGCCTGCAACCAAGGCATATGCTGCTGACCAGTATTGAACCTGGGACCCTTCAGTGTGCAGGCTGACACTCTATCCACAGAGCCAAGCCGGTTAGGGCTAGATGGTATTATTAATACACACCAGCATATCCATTTCAGCAAGCAAGAGTAGGGAGGGCGGGATATTTATGTCTCTGTGTGGGTCGGATGGAGGTGCAGGTGGTTGCAGGAAGCTGGGTCTAGAGCTGCTTTTCTCAGCTGCTTAGCTGTCTCCTGTGACACCTGAAATGAGAATAACAGGAAAACAGCAGAGAGGACAGGAGCCGCAAGGGGGGACAACAGAGAGTACTGAGTGCAGGGGAGAAACTGAGGGCAGGGAAAGGTACAGAATATGCCTAACAGGGCTTGGCTGGCCTGGGATGAATCTGCTGCTGCTGCATGGCTGCGGGTGGCATCAGGTCCCTGAGGCTGCTAGAACTGGGCGTGTCCTGCCCGGCCTACAGCCATGCCAGCGCTGCCTTCCTGCTGCTGCTGCTGCTGCTGCTCCGTGGCATCTCTCTGTGCTGTGGTTCATTCTCGCCTGGCTGGGGTTGCGCCCCAGATTCATGATGTTCAAGGCCTGGTCTTGGGAGTTCAGGCTTCCCATTGTTGCTGCTGCGGAGGGACAGCAGGTCGTGGCCGCTGGCTTGCATGGCGGTCAGGTTCTGCAGGCTGGACTGGAGCTGAAGGTGAGTGCGCTTCCCTGTGGACACTGGTGGGCAAAGTTCTGGCCAAGCTGAAGAAACCGGCTAGTGACATGCTTACAGGCCAGGGCTGGGACTGAGTCGGAGGCTGTAGTGTCTGGGCTGTGTTGGGCTGCTGTGGGAGTGTCCAGGGTGGTGCTCAAGGAGGGGATGGCAGACTGCTGAGGCACGTGACGGGAGTTCATGGTGGCATCCGCTGGCGCATGAGCTACCCCTGCGGCAGGCGGTTCCCAATCCGCTGCTGACGGAGCCGGAGCCGCTGCTCGCGGATCTTCTGTTTGATGTTGAGGCACAAGGGAACGGGGCATGGATTTTCTTGGCATTCTTTGGCATGGTAGCAGCAAAGGGCCATTAGCTGCTTGCACACTGGGCAGCCTCCAATGGCCTTGCGCTGGCAGCGCGTGGCGTGCAGCACAACACGCTTCAGCTTCTGACAGTCATTCTGAGGGCAGTGGGGG